ATCTGTGAGTTAGCCATGCCATGACTTAGATCAGCCCAGAGGTTGTTTCAGGGTTCAATCTGTGAGTGAGCCATGCCCTGACTTAGATCGGCCCATAGGTTGTTTAAAAAATTTCTCTTAAAATATTTGATTGTTTGCAGGTGTTTGTTATGGGATGCAACTAGCTGTAATTGAGTTTGCCAGAAATGTTCTGGGATGGAAAGGTAATCGTAGTGTATTATTTTGTAGTCCTATTTCACGAAAAATCATAAAGTTACAGCTCAGAGGGAGCTGGGTCTAATACTCTTTTGAATTTGGGTCATAAAACAATGACTAATAAATAAATAATTTACCCGTGATTGTTAGCTGCACGGCACTAACTACTAAAAGTGCCTTAATATGCACCCAGTAATGCTCTCTACAGGTTATAAATGTTATCATTATCATCATCATCATCATCATCATGTCATTCTTACAAGAAGGAGGAAAAGCTAAATCTGGTCTTCAATCATAAGCATAAAACATCATATTCACACTTGAAACCATAATAACATCTTCCAAAGTAGCAATGAGGATAAAGATTAGTAGACCAAGACATGATCCTTGAGGGACACCATAAGTAAATCTTTTGTTTCAAGAGCTAAAATCATGCCTTTTTTTGTATTCATAGAAGCAAATTCAACAGAGAATGACCCAGACACAAAACATCCTGTGGTAAGTGGAAAACATGTCAAATAGCTCGGCACTGCTACTATATCAATTTCAATTGTATTGTCTTTGGTGCAAGAGGCAAACTATAGAAAACCCTCAAATAAAGGGAGATATCCAATTCTTTGTGTTTCTGATATATGAATTTTTTCAGGTTATTGATATGCCAGAACACAATCCAGGACAGATGGGAGGCACCATGCGACTAGGTCGCCGTCGTACAGTGTTCTGTGATGTAGAGGACAGTATTGCAAGTATGTTTCCTTAATTGATTAGGTTAAGTGTGTCAGGGTGGCCGCATGGCTAGAGGCTAGTGGCATGGGTGCATGGCTAGTGCCATGGGTGCAATGGCTAGTGGTGTGGGTGCAAGGCTAGTGGCGTGGGTGCATGGCTAGTGGCATGGGTGCATGGCTAGTGGTGTGGGTGCATGGCTAGTGTCATGGGTGCATGGCTTGTGGCATGGGTGCATGGCTAGTGGCGTGGGTGCACGTCTTCAGAATAGTGTCAAAAAAGGACTATGGGGGAAAGTTTGATAAGATAGGGAATCTGAAATTTTTGCAATTCACTTAACATGTTTACAGTTTATTCAGAGAAGAGGGTGGCTTTGGATTTTAAGCCTTGCAAGTAGGTGAGAGGCCCAAGGAAAAAAATTGAAATTGTTTTAAAAATTTCTGACCAACCCCATTTCCACTCCCATTCCCACTCCCATTCCATAAGTAAGCTAGGAATGGTCCTTTAAATATACTCATCCCTCCATTTTCATTGGTCTCAATGATGTTAATTTTTTATTAGGAAAACTGTATAAAAATGTTGACTCTGTTGAGGAACGACACCGACATCGATATGAGGTGAGGATTGTCATACAGGAAAAAAGAATTCTCCTTGAATCAATGAATAAATCGTCCTCGTTTTAAGAGGCAACACTTATTGCCCATGGCTCACAAACCTGTGACCCCCATTATATGATCAAATTGGAATTATTGATAAGATGACGCAGAGTGAGAAAAACTGAGAACCCACAGAAATTCTAAATCTTATGGGATTTACAGCACTCTAGAGTGGATGAAAGAAAGCCTATCAGGTTTTGTAACCCATTTGATAAGGCAGTCAATAGATTGAATTAGTGACATAATATGATTAATTGTTTGTTTGGTTATAAAAGGCTAGGATTTCCAATGAAAATTATAAATTTTAAACGTTTTTGATTGAAGTCATCAAAAGACATACTTCTATAAACTGTACTCATTTCTGATGATGACTTTAGCCAAAATTGGATCAAATTAGATCGAACTAGAATTCACTTGATTTTTGAAGAGGTAGGAATATCTGGAGAACCCAGGAGAAAAAAACTTGAAGCACAGCAGAGAACCAACAAACAACTTTATACGACATATGACACTGTACCTGGGAATTAATCAAACCCTCAAAGCACAGGAGAAAATTAACTAGCAACTCTACTCACAGTTATAACAGTGAGTCCAGGGATCAAACCGGTGACTACAGCAGTGAGAGGTGGTGCATTAGCAGAGCACGCCAACCTTGCTTCCTTACCCCATCCCCCAAAACTAAAACAGAGTTTGATCCAACATCGGTCATTTTTTCCATACCATTGAAAAGATAAATTAACCTTTTTTCTTCATAGGTTAATCCAAAAAAGGTGCATGATTTTGAAGAAAAAGGAATGAAGTTTGTCGGCAAAGATATTGAGGGTGAGAGAATGGAGATAATGGAGTTACAAGGTGAGTCAGTTATGAAACTACAGGTCATATGTTGAGAAGAGATAACTAGCTAAAAAGTAGTGTGAGCTGCATCGGTGTTTCTAATGAAACAGTGATGATAAAAGGGTATATTATACACTGTGAAAAGATGATGACTGACTTTTCAGACGCTAGTCCTTCATCTGAGTAAAAGAGAAAGAGGTGGTAGAAAGGAGTGTTTATATGCTAGGAATAAGACAAAAGGTCATATGTTAGTTATCTTAACCACCAGGCCTCATCAAAGTTGTGCTATCTGGATTGATTAAACTTTTTTATTAAAATTTTCGTTTTTGTAGGACACCCATACTTCATTGGAGTACAATTTCATCCAGAATACATAAGTCGACCACTCAAACCATCACCACCTTACCTGGGGCTTATTTTAGCATCAATCGGAAAGTTACAACAGTATATCAACAGAGGCTGCAGGCTATCACCCAAATGTAGCATCAGCGAAGACGAGAGTGACAGTGAGGGTGAAACAGAACTCAAAACATAGATAGTTCATATTATTTAAGCTAAGCTATTTGTTATGTTGCATCATCAAGGCCATATTAGTGGTATTTTGCAAAAGATTTCTCATAACAATCCTTTGTTAATACCACCATGTTAGAGCAGTTTTCGTATGACTGTGAGAAGCTCCCAGCACGCACACGGTCCTGCCACAACAAGGGATACGCCAGACCAGTTACATTTTTCGAGAATTTACTCTCCATCCAATCAAATACCCGGAACACGGCATAGACACACTCACACCAAGGTCAAGTCACTGACAGGCCAATCACATTGTGCAAGAAAAAATCAGCCAATTAATATTCTAGGAAACATTGACGGTCACGGCACTGAACTTTTCACAGTCATATGAAAACTGCTCTTAATACTGCCATGTTTTTGTCTCCTGACTCTCTCAGGAAATTGAGATTTTTTAGGTGCATTCACATCCAAACTTGACAGGCCATAAAACTGAGAAACAATCTAATCATATTCATGATATTTTGTCGTGAGAAATATTTTTAAACAAAAGATAACAAATATAGAAAAAAATAAAAGACTTTAAAAATAAAACAAAATAATTTTTTCAAAATTGAACATTTTCTTGGTGTGGCTTATTAAGCTCCATTAATTTTGGATGTGTTTGCAGCCCTCACAGTATTTTGTTTAGCTCATGCCAATATCTAATGCTGCATTTATTACTGTATGTATGCCAGAGCAGGGCAGGTGATATTTTTCAATACTGTACTCTTAAAATTTTGGTCTACACTTGTTCTTTGAAAATAATTTGAGATGTACCCATTGAACTCACAGCTCGCCCTCCCCCTCCCCCCTCCTGAATTTCACTTTACCACCTGGCATACATGACGATATCAGCCTAACCAAAATATATTTGCTGTAAAAATCTGTAAATAATTGGATTTAATTTGCACTTAAAAATTGATGTTTATAGCCTACATGTTTTTGCTTCATTGGTTTAAACTTTTGTTTGTTTGAACGGTTCAAGTTGCCCAAATGTAAACTTATTAATAAAATTATTTTATTAGAACTACATAATTCAGTACATGTAGCTAAAGAAGGTGTAAGTTATGTTATTAGAGCCTGGAGAATCAAATAAGCATTAAAAATCTGTACTAATAAAGCTTTTTAGCTTAGGCACAATATTTTCCCATTTCAAACCACGCCATTTTCTAAGGTATCAACAGGTATTACTTTTTGTTTAACAGTTGCATTATTTTTGAGAATATGGATAGAACTTAAACAAAGAAATTTATTCTCATACCGTGAAAGAATAATCAAAGTAATACAAATTAGTAGACACTGATTCCTTTGCTTTTTTTGGCTTTACTTGGACTGTTAGTTACTAATTATACAACATTATTTCACAAGCCAAATAAAATCACTCTTTGCCCAGATAAAAAGTCTATAGACCCATTGCAGCACTTTGGAATACAGCTCAATCTGTGGGACAAAACAATAGGTTCCAATTCTCAGGAGATTGGAATTCTTTTGTTTTGTCCCCCAGATCAAGTTGCTTTAACGTCACATGCAAATATTTATAATTTCTTGAAATTTTATTTTATGCCAAAAATTTGCTACGTTTACGTAGTTAGACAAACTCCTTTTAGTCTGCTTCTATAACTTTCATATTCGTAAAATGTTCTTATTTTAAAAACCAAAGCATTGGAAATCCATATAATAGACTGTTTTTCTTAATTTGGGCATATTCTTTTGTTTTCTTTATTTATCTGTCATTGTATCCTATCTCGCATAAAGCCGTTCTTATGCTTTGACTTGTTAATAATTATTTTGCTTCTTTATTTAACTATATTTTTTCCTCATTCTCTACAAGAACTAGGAAGCTCATCTAGGGAGTTAGATTTACAATGATTTAGTTTATTAGTTTACAATAATTTTTACAATTTAAAAATAATATACAATATATAATACAGTAATTAGAGTATCCTACCATGGAATATTCCATAGCATACTATGAAAATACAAGCGACAAATGGGATATTCCAGGGTGTGCCATAATAAAGCATTGCATAACTATTGTATACTACACAAAATACTGAGGCATTTAGTTATAAAATGGAAGATAACGACGCTTGATGCAAAAAAAAAAAAAAAACAGCACTGGAATACCCCCAAATATACAATTTGGCTGTTTTTACAGTATTGTAGGATAAAATGAATATATCACAACCATTATATAGTACCAGCTTGCAATATTTGTATTTAACAATAATGTCACCTTACATTATCGTACTTGAAATAAAAGACAATCTATTTTTGTGTTAATTTGAATTTTTTAGTCATTTATATTTCTAAAGCAATTTTACTATGCCCTTGAAAAAAATGTAAGCATAATGCATTGGCATAGATAATAATTCCATTGTTTTCTTTTGTTTTTCTTTGACTGTTAGTCACTAATAATTTGTTACAACTTTTTTACATGGGCCAAGTAAAATCTCTTTAGCTCGAGGGCATTAGTCTCTGTATAAATTCCAAGATGTGCATTTGAATTCTTGTGTCCTCTGGATTATTTGTGACGAAAAACAAAGGTACCCCTGCTCTCTGAAATGTATGAAAGATATACAACAATATTGATCTTTTGTAAAGGCCAATAAGGCAGGCTTAAGAGAGAAAAGAGTCCCAATCCCTTACCCCAAACTTGAAGTCCCCTGCACCCTTTGCCTCTTTCCTTTAGCGAATTCAAAGTCCAAAGAGGAAACCAAATACATGTAATCTTTAATACCTCAAAAGTTGCTTGTTGGTCGCAGACAATCTGGTCTAATTCCAGGACTAATTTTTGATCCAACTGCATCATCTCGTTGTCAAGCTTTGCCTCTAGTTTCTTAAAACATTACAAACATTGAATGCAAAATGTCACTGATAGCAAGAAAGATTCAAAACTCAAATTCTAATTGGAGTATGGTGTTCATTTTATGGAATGATCCAATCAGACTTTGAGTTTTGAATTGGTTATTATTTCAGGGGCGGTGAAAGCTGAAAATCTTTGGAGGGACACTGAAATATTACATTTAACACTGTGATAATGACCGTTGTTTTGTTTAATTGCAGACACATGCAGCATAAAA